AAAAAAAAAAAAAAAAAAAAAAGCCTCAAGTAAGTGGGCCCATGCAAGTTCAAACGTGTTGTTCAGGGATCAGTTGTATTTACGAGTATGTCTCATACTAACACCCATTAATACGGTAAAAAAAAACAAACTCCTACTTGCTATTTCCTTTATTTAGTTTTTATCAACAATCACTACCTCCTAATGATTTAATATCATGTGTTTCAATGCAAACCTTCATAATTTAGCTTTTTCATTTCAGCTTCAAGTTTTTCTTTAAGTTTCTTCACAGCTTCTAAAGCTTCTTGATCCTTCCTATAGCCACTATCCATCTTCTTAACTTCAGCTTGTTTAGTCTTTAATTCTTGTTGGGCATGTTTCAACTTCATCTGAGCCTGTTATTGAAAATTTAATAGACTATGTGAGGCAGATAGTGCTAGTGATTAAATGGCCACAGATGCAGATTAGTTTAAGAAACGTCAGCTTGGAAAATGTAACTGTTTGGTCACTTGCATTAATATCTTAAAGAAATCAATCATTTCCCAATACTTTCTGCTCATAAAACTACTCAGAGTATAAAATATATGCTTAACATAAATCATTAAGTTATTTACTCCATATTTTTAACACTTACAAAGGATGACATTAATGAGTCCAAAAATTATATGAAAGAGTAATTGTCATTAGCTGATTAAATTAAAAACACATCAGAAAGCTACTAATCAGAACACTAACTAGTTCCCTTCCTTTCCACTTAGGTATGCATATTTGTACTTGTATACTATTTGTGAGTGTTGTTCAATTAACAGTGGAGAGACTGTATTGAGCAGTAAGAAAATTATACAGGAAAGTGAACTTAAGCTGACAAGAGAAATTTCAATGCTTGGAGTCTGATATGCGAATGCTAGTTTATATAAATGAGTACCGTTCCTTAAAAGCATGAACTAGTACTTTGAGATCTGGCTGGATGTCTCCTCCCCCTAAAACTGAGTAATGGTGGCTTTTTCCCAACATATAATAAGTTAACAGAAAAACTGAGAGGATTTAAAAGTTTTTCTGTTATTGATTTCTTACAATTTTTTTGTGACCTTCAGCGTTGAGTGGAAAAGTTGCAAACATTTAACAGAAAATGCTGAATATGATTAATACAAACACACACAGGAACATGTATATTTGTAAAGATGAGCCCTCTGTTAAAAAAATAAAGACTGTGTATATATATTTATTTTTTTTTCTGCAATCAAAACTGTTGCATTCATAGGACTTTAAAAGATGCACAACTATCTAAACAAATTTGAAAGTCTTTACTGACAAGCTTCAAAGGTTATGAAATCCGTATAGGGAAACCAAAGACAAGAAGGGGGTAAGTGGGAGGGAGAGATACTTCCAAGGATGAAAGGTAAGAACTAAGTGTGGTGACCACAGAAATGGAAAGGATGTTTGTTTTCCTGTTAAAGCTTAAGACTTCGACTTTGTCAATAAAAAAGTAAAAAGAGCACAAAAAAAAAAAATTAACCTCAAATATTCCATACAATACTACAAAATAGAATAAAGCATTTATTGCATTTATAATTTCAACTAACCTATAAGGGTATTTAATATTTTATAGCATCTTAAACTATTATCAATATTTAGCAGTTAGCATATTTGAATTTCACTGTATTGAGCGCTACTGAGTAGCAGAGTAACAAATTCCTTGACATTGGCAATGGTTATAAAACGCTGAAAATAATCAGATCACCATAATGTGGAGCTTCTAAAAAAATGCAATCACACAGCGCTGAATGTCTGTATTTACCTGTTTGGCTTCTGTCTGAGCTTTACTTATGTCGTTTTTACAGGCCATCATTTGACCAGCAAGAGTTGCTTCTGCTCCATCTTCATTACTAGACAGTCCAGCGGAAACAGCGTTGAAGTGCTGCTGTGCCGCAGCCAAAGCTTCAGCATCTTTATTACTTGCTTCCTGAAGAGCATTCAGCCCATCTGTTATCTTCTTAACCTCTTTTTCCTTTGCTGCTAAAGTTTTAGAATCCTTCAGGAAGATTTTAATATTGAAGAGTATTATATTTTAGGAAATACATCCATTTTTTCTTATCTACCCATACCCTTATGCCATCAAATTTCATAGCAATTTGAAGTGGGCATGGTTAAAAGGAAAATAATTTAACCATCCCAACTTTAAATACTTAATCCTCATTTTAAAATTCACCCTGTTTTTAGGATAAATGTGTCCTTAGTATTCCAAATACTACTGGAAATACTTTCATTCCGTGTGTTACGGTCTAATCTAGAAATTAGCTAAAACAGCATAAACAAACGATTTGAAGCAACTAAAAATCACTTTCTAAAGCTCTAAAATTGAACTAATAACTATCCTACTCCAAGCTTCAAAGCAGAGATTGTAGGATGAAGAGCATGTACATGAAAATATATTTATAAACTATTAAAGACCATAAAATTTAAATATTAAATACTAGTGGAAACAGCATTATTAATAATTAACCCCTCTTAAGTTATATACACGAACACCATGAACACTAAGATAACAACACCAGAAAAAAAAAAAATCCAGCTATATTATTTACATGAGAGTGACCAGAAATTTTGGCTCACAAGTTTAATTCATGATTCATTAAATATTTATTAGAGGTTCACCATGTATCAGTCATTGTTCTAGACATTAAAGACACAGATTCCTCAGGGACCCTATATTCTAGAGAAGCATAGTAAAAAAATAAAGCAATGTAAAGGGATAGAAACTGATGGGAACTATTTTAAGAACAATGAAGGAAGGCCATTTTGTGATGACATTTTGAGCAGAAACCTAAATGAAATAAAAGGAGTGATCGATCATGCTAATACTACAGGGACCCACACTAGGCAAGCTCTGCGAAATATGCTTGGGTGTTTGAGGAACTATTTGGTGTTGGACCACCGTGAGCAAGTGGAAAGGAGCTAGGGTCTCATAGGCCATGGTGAAGACTAAATTTAATTATACATGTGACTTTGAAACCATTAATGAATTTTAAGAACAAGAGTGATGTGATCCAGTTTATATTTTAGCTTTTGTAAAGAACAGATTGTAGAATGGCAAGAGCAAAAAGCACGGCAACTAACAGGGACATCATTACAGCATCCCTCCTAAGACATGATGGCCTGCAGTAAAGCAGCGATAGACATGAAAAGTGGCTATATTCAGGAAGTACTTTTAAAGTCAAGAGAATTTGCTGATGGATTAGATACAGAGTTTGAGAAAAAGGGGGGAATGCAAGAAGACTCTAGGATTTCTGGACTGAACAATTAAGTTAATAGTGGCGCCATTTTCTGACATAGGGAAAAATTCAATAACTCAAGGAGGCTTGGGTAGGTAGAGTTTTATTTTGGACATGTAAAGTTTTAGACTTTTTGTTAGTCATCTATGTAAAAATATCAATTAAATAACTGGACAAATAAGTTTTAGACATTTTGTTAGTCATCTATGTAACAATGTCAATTAAATAGCTGGACAAAAAAATCTAGAATTCAGGGAAGGAGTCAAGGCTAATTATAGATCTGAAAGGCATCAACATATAAATATTATAGGGCTACAGGCCTGGATGGGATTAGCTAAGAAAGGAGTGTATATAAAAGAAGTCTGCACTAGCCCAGGGGCATGCCAACATCTGTTATTCTGATTTCTATTTCTAGACTGGCTTCAATATTCCTATATTCAACTACCTAATCAACAGATCTACTTAGACGTCTAACAGGCACCTCAAGCCTATTATGTTCACACTGTACTTCCTCCTATTCTCTACTAAGCTAACGATATTTCCAATTGTCAAGGACAGAAATCTGTAGTATCCTTCAGTCCTTTTAACAACCAACTCAACCACCAATCTGCCAGGTCTAATTCGTTGGACCTACCTTTACAATACTCATAAAATCCCAAAACTTCTCTCAATACACCCACTTATACTGCATTTATCCAAGGGCTATCCTCTAGACTGGTACCTACTACCTGGATTTCCTCCCTGCTTCTTCCCTTTAGGTTATTCTCTAAACATCAAGAAAAGTACTATTAAAATATAAAAAATGTTGTTCCTCTGCTCAGCCAACTCCAGTGGCTTCCCATGTCACTCAGAATAAAGGTCAAAGTCCTTCACGTGTCTTATAAAATCACATGTGATCCTACACCTTTTACCTTTCTGCATTCCTACTACTTAGTGCTGAAGAGCCACACTGATCAATCTCCTTATATTTCCAATATCTTTGGCACCTGGGGCAATTGCTCTTCTGCCTCGTACATCTTCTCCCACAACCAATTTATTTACATGGTTCTCTGACTTCCTTCAGGTCTTATTAATGAAATAGCACCTTCTCAATGAGACCGTCAGTGGTTACCCAATTTAAAAACCCACACCTTACCCACCTCCCTTATATTCCTAAAACTCTACCCTGCTTTTTCTCCAAATCTGTTATCACTATATAACACACTGTAGATTTCATTTATCATCATTCTCCTCATTGGAATGAATACCCAAAAGGCATTTTGTCCATATTTGTCATTTTGTCCACTGCTATATCCTCAGCCCAAACAACTATACTGTCCGTAGCATACACTCAATAAATATTAATAAAATGGATAAGTGTAACCGAGAGAAATTAAATCAAGCTTCTTATTTACTTACCTCAACCATATTTTTTTCCAGCTCTTTGCGTTTGTTCTCTTCACTTGCCAGATTTTTCTTCTTGAGATCAAAGGCACTTTGAGATTTAGTATTAACTCGCTGAGCTTCTGCAAGAGCATCTTCTAAAGATCGGAGTATACCTCCAATTTCCTATAATCAAATGCAGCCAATCCAATCAGCATACTTGTAATTTGTTCATGTCATCATGTTCTTGTATAACTTCTGTAAGATTTACTTTTTATAAGCTATGTTATTATCACATGTTAAGATGATCAATACAGAAGACAATGCCAGTGGACCTCACTTATTACAATTTTTTTTCCACAGTATATTATCTGTTCTTACATATTATGTCTGACCTTATCTTTTCTTCTTTCCAACTCTTCTATTTCATGGCTAAGTGCTTTTATTTTTTTATCATTCTCAGACAATTTTTCTTGAAGCTTTACAACTTTATCTTGCATTTCTTTTAACTCCTCAGCTGAGCGTTCTTTTGTATCTTCAGCCAGCAAAAACTGATAAGCAATATATAAACGACTCAAATGTTCTATTTCCCTCATTACTTTTTGGTACTCCAAGTAGGAAGATCTTTCCTGGAGGAGAAATCACCAATAAAGTATAACTCAAACTTCAAAATTTTCAACAAACTTAGAAAGACTCAAACTACAGCAACATGTATAAAATTTCCCATCACATAATAGACTTTGTCTTAGATTAGTGATCATGGATTATAGAAATTTTAACATTAGATCTCTAGCTTTTCAGATACCATTATACCATCTCCAGTGAATCCTGTGTGGTTTCTTTTAATATATAATCAGGCAGTTGGGATTAACAAAGAAATGTGGACACAAGATTCACAGACTGGGGGGTAGTAAGTAGTCTACAAACTACACAACCACCAATGATACATTATTACATGTATTTTGAAATAGTATTTACCAAGATGCCTACCCAACATTCAATCATGTAACTATTTACAAACATTTGCTCACACATTATTAAACTTGATTCTGATAAGGACCCCCTAGGGTGGACAGAGTAATTAAAATCCCTAACCACACCTGTTCAGATTTGCCAATAACATCCACATTACTTTATGGATTCAGAATACAACTCTGAGAAGTATCAAATTTTAATGAGCATTTAATGAAATCCTAAATGTGAAAGTTTAAAACCAATGTGCTATAAATGCATTTTTTCACTGAAATATTATGTCACAAGCTACAAAGATGATAGAAATGACCTGGACATTTGTTTTAGTACCTTTCACTTATCAATGGTCTTGACAGCAATAATTGCAGTGGTAGCCCCTATTATCCTAGAAATTATTCACTCTACCAACAGGATTACTAGGAGTGTCATGTCCTCAAGAAATGTTCTGCTCAATTCTACCTCTCCATCTGGGAGATCATTTTCTGAGATTATGAAGAGCAATCTCCAAAATCACTATGATTAATAGGTATGAATGAAGTACATGTCCTCTATAAGCAGAAGTCTGATTAACAAGTACCAACTCTAACTCCTTATCTTATCCCATAGAAAAATTCCTGAGAAGTGGTGTACATTTCATCTCTATGTGTATGATCTTGAATACAATGAAAAATTGTCACCAATTTTGAGAGACATTCTAGATGGCTGTCCTCACATACACAGTGTATACCTCTTTTAATTTTTGAATGGTTGGAGTAATCTCTTCTTCAAGTATCTGGAAAATAAAGGAAAATCAAAATTGTCAGTATGTAAAGTACCATTAAAAAATCTGAAAGGAAAAGTAGCATGGAAGTTTAAGGAAAACTGGGGGAGGCGAAATTTCCTCTTTACAGCAGGGAAACTCTAAATGCAAAATTACTCTCTTTACAAACATTTTATATAAATTTAATTACCGTCTTAATTTCTTTCAGCTTAGCCTCTTTTTTTTCTATAGTTTTCTGGGCAGCTATTTTTTTGTATTCATACATCCTGGTTCCAGCTGCTTCTTCTATCATGGATAAAATCTGGAAAGACAATTATATTAACGTTTCAAGAATACAAGATAAATCTCATTGGAGTTTACATTAAGTATATCATTTAAGGTCTTAACCTCACTAAGCATGCTTACCAAAATAAAGGCCCAAATGGACCAGAGACATTAAGTACATAAAAACGCACGTATTGCCCACAGCCCTAACATTCAAGAAACATTTCTGGCCTTTACTCCAATTCTAAAATTGAACTTCATGCAACACTGAGGCAGAGTAAATCTCTTTTAAAACTGAAGCCAGGGGCATCCGGCTGGTTCAGCAAGTAGAGCGTGCAACTCTTGATTTTGGGGTTGTTGAGTTTGAGCCCCATGTTGGGTATTTAGATTACTTAAAAATAAAAATTTTTAAATAAAAAAATAAAATTGAAGCCAATAATTCCTCCTCTTTTCCTTCAAACATAAGTTAAAAAAAAAATAAAGGCTACCAACATTCAGTTTTCATTTTAGAAGCTTCTACTTAAAATTGTTCCAAGAGACTTCAGCCATTTTGTGCCAACAGGATGAAGCATGACATAACATGTGCATCCCAACTGTGGCATGTGCTTTAAGAACTTGGGCAAATAACTTAATCTTCTCTGTGCTGCGGTTTCTTCATCCATAGCGTATGGATAATATCTCACAACACTGTTGAGAATTACACAAAATAATTCATGTAAAAAGCACTCTAAAAAAGGCAAGTACTTATCAATTATAATTTCCTAAGTAAAACAATTTTACCAGCACTCCTTTTTCAGAAGCTTCTACACACCATCAATCCTTATCTCAAAAGGATTATTTCTCTCAAAACTATTCTCATTTCTATGTATTTGGCAGGTTTCAAATTAGAAGTTTCCCTTAAGACGTTATCTAAAGAAAATATGCATGACCTACGTTAAAATCAGACTGCTATTACCAATTATCAGTTTTCCCCTTAGTTCTCAATAAAAAATAGTAACTAAAGAGCCTTTGTTCTTGTTGAAAACATTCATTCCCTTACACCAACTCTTTTCAAGGGGGCTCCAAGAAAAAAAACTTTAAGTCTTAATACCCTAAGCAATCCACTGAATGCAATGAATTAATTTCACTCAAATCTTTTTCTGTAGGGTTTAAGTCTGATATGGAACACTGGTTGAGAAAGGCTGCTTGATACAGTCAAAATTTCTTTTAATACTGGGCAATACAACTCTTAGAAGAAAACACAGAAGTTAAGCTCCTTGACACTGGTCATAGTGAAAAATTTTTTGGATTTGACACCAAAAGCAAAGGCAATGAAAGCAAAAATTAACAAGTGGGACTCTATCTGACTGAACTACCTTCTGACTGAAAACCTTCTGCATAGCAAAGGAAACCATAAACAAAATGAAAAGGCAACCTAGGGAAGAGGAAAAAGTAGTTGTAAATCATGAATCTGCTAAGGGGTTAATATCAAAATACATAAAGAACTTGCATATACAACACAATAGGAAAAAAACAATCTAATTAAAACCTGGGCAGAGGATGTGAACATTTTTTCAACAAAAGATAGAGAGATGAAAGGTATATGAAAGGTATTCAACATCATTACATCAGGGAAATGCAAATTAAAACCATGAGATAACTACCTCTGTTAGAATAGCTATTATCACAAAGACAAGAAATAACAAGTGCAGGTGATAATGTGGAGAAAAGGGAAACCTTTTCTATACTGTTGATAAGAATGTAAATTGGTGCAGCCATTATGGAAAACTATGAAGATTCCTTAAAAGATTAAAAATAGAACTACCATATGATATAGCAATTATATTTCTGGGTATTTAGCCAAAGAAAACAAAGACACTAACTTGAAAAGATACCTGCATCCCCATGTTCACTGCAGCATTATAATACCAAGACATGGAAACAACCTAAGTGTTGGTGATGAACAGATAAAGAAAATGTGGTATATATACACAATGGACTATTATTCAGCTATTTAAAACAAATGCAATCTTAAATTTTTTAATGTTTATTTATTTTTGAGACAGAGAGAGACAGAGCGCGAGTGGGGGAGGGGCAGAGAGAGAGGGAGACACAGAATCCGAAGCAGGCTCCAGGCTCTAAGCTGTCAGCACAGAGCCCGACGCGGGGCTCGAACTCACAGACCGTGAGATCATGACCTGAGCCGAAGTTGGACGCTTAACCAACTGAGCCACCCAGGCGCCCCTAAAACAAATGCAATCTTGCCATTTGTGACAACGTGGATGGAACTGGAGGGTTTTATGCTAAGTGAAATAAGTCAGGCAGAGATAGAGAAATACTGTATAATCTTATTTGTATGTAGAATCTAAAAAGAAAAAAAATGAGATCCTGAAGAACATATTAGGGGTTGTCAGAAATAAGGGTTAAAGGGTGGACAAAATGGGTACAGGTGATCAAAGGTACAACCTTCCCGTTACAAACATTCTGGGGATATAATGTATAGGATGGTGACTACAGTTAATAAAACTGTAAAAATACAGTTAATAATACTATATTTGAAAGTTGCTAAGAGCTAAGAAGGAAACCTTAAAAGTTATAAGAAAAAGAAAATTGAAACTATGTGGTAATGGATGTTAACTAAACTTATAAGGATCATTCTGCGATGTCTACATATATTAATCACTATATTGCACACCTGAAACTAATAGGTCACTTATACCTTCATTAAAAAAAAATGTTAAAAAAAATCCGCTCAACAATGTTCTGCCCATGCCTTTTCTTATACATTCTCATTTAATCCTCAGAAAATACCTGAGGTAAGGACTCTTGACTCTAATTTACGGATGAGGAAACTAAAGCTCAGAAAGGTAATGTCATATAGCTTTAAAAAGGTAGGGGGCCAGAGTGCCAAATAATAAAAAAACCAAAAAACTTTCTTTACTAATTATTCTTAATAATGTTCCTAAGAATTTTAAGAATAGAAGAAATTATGTTTAAAAATTGACTTAGAAGATTAAAACAGTATCTACAATTATTACTTTTATTGTCTACAAATAGTATCTTTACCTCTGGAGGTTTCATGTTCAATACTTTTGTAATTCGGCCCTGAAAAATAAAATGGCAGTTACTGTAATGATAACAAATTAGAGTCAACTAAAGGCATACACATTTACCTGCACTGAAGTTGTTATATCCTAATATACCAACCTTTTGGGAATTCTTTCTCTTACCTACATGAAAAGATGTTTCTTCTAGAATTCTGCTATTCACACTTTCACTTACCAGTAATATAGTTTTTAAATAACACAAAGTCAACTCAGATCATATTTCTGAAACAATATTAATGATACAGAAGTCTCCAATAAGTATATAAATACATAAGTATATACAATTTAGCATAATTGTTGGACATCTTTTGATTTTTTTTTTTTTACTTGCTGCACTCCAAGATAATTTCTAGAAACAGAAATTCTGGGCCTCAAATAGAATAGTTACATGTTTTATTTCAATGCCAGATTATCAGTACCAAAAAAAAAAACCAAAACAAAATTCCACTACCCAATTCTCAGACCATCATATTACTTATGATTTCGATTCATTTAAAGTAAATTTTCAGCCTTGAGGCTGTGATATACTGAAAATAACGTTATTTTGGTCCCATCAGGATCCTGCCATTGACCTTGCTGTAACTTTCTAAGAGGACAGCTGGATGAGGCAAGAAAGGACAAGATAATATTAGCACTTAATTTTTATTTGAATAAGTCTCCATGTAAGAAAATTTTTTTTAATTTTTTTTTTTTTAGTGTTTAATTTTGAGACAGAGACCGAGCATGAGTGGGGGAGGGGCAAAAAGAGAAGGAGACACAGAATCTGAAGCAGGCTCCAGGCTCTGAGCTGTCAGCACAGAGCCCGATGTGGGGCATGAACTCATGAACCCGTGAGATCAGGACTTGAGCGAAGTCCAACACTTAACCAACTGAGCCACCCAGGTGCCCCTAAGTAAAAACATTTCTTAAAATTTAATACATATTTGAAATAACAAAATGCTTGAGTCCGACACTCAAAGGAATTCCTTTAAAAGGAATATATTATGACAATATCTTTTTTAAAAATTTTATAGTGTATTCTTGTAAGTCAAGGAAAATTATTTCTAGACATTCTTCAAACTTCAAATGTGTATGTTAGAACACATCAGTACATATTAACTAATCAACCTCTTAACAGGTGCCCAAACACCACTGTAATGGTATATAAAAAACAAAAAACCCAAAAAGAAGCAATTCCCGTATTACAGTATCAAAAAAATAAACAATATCAAAGCGTATATAAAGGCCACAAACAAAATACCTGCATGATGAGAAAGTGAGGGTTGTTAACATTAAGGCCAACAGAACAGAAGAGATCTTGTACTCTGGTATTGTTTGCATTTACTCCATTGATTAAATATTTATTTCTACCACCAATAACCACCTAAAAGGGAAATATTTTAAAAGATATAAATGAATATATAAAACTTGAAGATGATACATTTCCAAATATATTTCACTTGTCTGTTCTGTCCTACTAATGATAAATAAAACCAATCCTGAATAAATAATGGAGGAAGTGTGACATGGTCAAAAAGAATACAGAGTCAGGTCAATTGGTTTCTAATCCAAGGACATTCCACACACAAGCCTCCTAATCTCTCATGCGTTGGACTAAATCTCTAACGTCACTTTTGACTTTATGTTTCCTAGTATGTATAAAACATATTCTATACCTAATCATTCTTTAGAATTTTCCCATCCTCAGAGGTTAACCCCTCCTTCCTCCACTTTTTAATTTCCAAAAAACAGAAGTCATATACTAAAAACTAAAGACAAGGAGTTTGATAGCAGTGTGATAGTTTGATCCTTGACAAGATTCTAAAATGGGTCAATAAAGACATGACTTGTGAATACTTGAAAGAAAAAGAGTAATTATGGAGCTTCAAAGAACAACTTATACCAGACATCAGCGTGTTCACACTCTGCTATAGCACTTACATTGTCACTTATTGGGCATAATCATCTCACCCATCCTATTTTGAGGTCCTTCTTCTATCTGTATTTCCCAGGGCCTTCAAGATTGCCCAGCACATACCAAACACTTAATAAAATACTGAATGAGTGTTAATTCAGTTCTTTTCTTGACAGAAGCATTAAGCTGATAGATCACATACTACTATATTTGGAACAATAAACCTAGTATACACATAAGTATTTTAACAAAGTCTTTCTAACAAAAATTTGGTGAAAATATAGGCATATGGATTATATGAGGACAGGAATTTTAGGTAGATTAGTAGGAGACTTATTAAAAATTCCTAAAAGGTGAGTATTTGATGGATGCTTAATGACAAAGAACAGGATTTTGTCTCAAACTAGTCAATGTCTTAGTTTTTTTTTTTAACTAGAGGTTTTTATTAAAATAGAAAAGGGAGGGGCGCCTGGGTGGCGCAGTCGGTTAAGCGTCCGACTTCAGCCAGGTCACGATCTCGCGGTCCGTGAGTTCGAGCCCCGCGTCAGGCTCTGGGCTGATGGCTCGGAGCCTGGAGCCTGTTTCCGATTCTGTGTCTCCCTCTCTCTCTGCCCCTCCCCCGTTCATGCTCTGTCTCTCTCTGTCCCAAAAATAAATAAACGTTGAAAAAAAAAAAAAAAATTTTTAAAATAGAAAAGGGAATCAATAAATTACATAATACTAAGATGGAGAGTCAAAAGGACTTAACAGAATTTTTAAACATAAAACTGACAAAGTAAAAACACTGTAGGACTATAGTAAGAAAAAGGGACAATGTATCGTCCCTGCTTTGGTTTCAAAAACCTGCTTACATACAGAAATGGCAGTAACACAGCTAACAACACACATTTAAAAAATCAGAGTTTAAGTGAGGTGGATATGAACTCATAACATATTATGAACCTCTCCAAAGACATACTGGGGAAAATAGAAGAGTATGTAAAATGAAAGAAGTGACAACTCTGCTTAATCCTGTCCTAAGGAGACCAATTCTGGGACATGCAATTTGATGGACCATGCATTAAAAATAATTTAAAAAAGGCATAAAGAACCTAGAGCAAATTTGTATTCAGTGTGATCAGACAAGTTAAGGAAATAGAAACAATTATCAATTGAAATACCTAGAGAGATTTAGCTTAAATATTAAATATTTAAACACCTAAATATTAAAACATGGAATACATTAGATTTGCTTTTTGATGCTCTCAAAGAATCGGATTTAATGTGTAAAATTTGATGACAGTACTTCAGCTCATTTTATAGGAATAACTTTCTAATTAGACTCATCCAGTAACAATAGGTTACCTCAGAAGATGGCAAGATCCCAACTATTAGAGGTACTCCAGTACAGAGAAAATTCAAGTATAGTTCAAGATTTAAAGCATAGTTATTAGTGCTTATCCTGATTGATGGCTTTTTAGATCCCTTTCAATCCTCTTGGTAAATGGTGGAATTTGCACGATCAAATTTTTAACATAAGGAAGATATTCTTAAGAAACCTAGTCAGTTTTTGATCAATTTTGCTCATAAACTTTCTCTCTCCAGCAGTCTCATTGCCAAAAAACGTGTCAGACAAAAGTTCTTAGATATCCAAATATTTAGTAGTCACTCACCTGCCTCGTTACTGTAATTTCATCATGAACCTCAAATCCTAAAGGACTTTGCTTTTTGTCAGAATTATCAAATGTGATTGACACGGAGGCTTTGGTAATACCAGCCTGCCCATTTTTGTAAACTAAATCTTGTAAATTAGAAGCCCGAACCTAAAACAAAAGAAAAGTTTGTCAATTACAAAACCCCATATTGCATAAAATGGCACTAAAAATGGGTTTCTTACTGTTGGAAAACCACCCATGCAGTATCCACTAAGTAGCCAGCCAGGCAAGGAAAGCAAGGAAAATGGGAAACCACATAAAATGAGTGCCTTTCCCCACAAAACTGTTCCAACCCTGCACTGGATTGTTTTCTATTCGTTTCGTAGCTGAAGTTCATTTGAAAGATTTAGGAAGACAGCATCTAAGAATTTCACTATTCATCCAATCCCATTAGATCCTGAAAAGGCATTATAACGCAGAGTGAGTGGGTAGGAATACGGCTTCTGGGATAAGACTCCCAAATGCCTGAGTTTGAGGGCTGCTCCAAACATCTTAAGGGGATGAACCTTAGGCAACACTAAATTTCTATTTTCTCATCTATAGATAGAGTAGAAAAAAAAGTAGAGTGAGTAATAACATCTACCTCTAAAGGACTGCAGTGAAGTATATGCACTGTATTTAAACTCCATATAAAAACATATTGAATAATTCTGTATGGTTATTTCAGAATTTGGTAAAGTAGTAAAGTACTCCTAAGTTGTTTGACATTATAAGACAAGTTATTTGATTCTTACAAAAAACTTTACTGACCCCCCTCCTATAGTGAATGCAGTCAAGGCTTTTAAAAGTGCCCTAGATTATGACAACTATACTTCATTCAAAAAACAAACAAACAAAAAAAAGTGTCCTGGATTATAGAAAACTCAAGCTTTATTCTAATTTTAAACAAAGAATGGTAGGTTAACTTCAGTAAAAACCCAATAGGAATGAAAAAAAAAAAAAGATAATTCACATAAACTTCAAAATGCAAATGAAGAGAAAACTGGCAATAGTGTCCAAGTTCAATGAGGATTCTCTTGAGGTTCCCCAAACTTATAATTCACATATATCAGAAAGTTTACCTGAGACAGGTTGGAGATGCCCAGCAAAAAGCAGATGGAGTCCAATATGTTGGATTTCCCACTACCATTTAAACCGGTGATAGCATTGAAGAGGGGGTCAAAACCATTGACTTCAGTCCTCTGAGCATAGGACTTAAATCCCTCAAGAATGATTGACTTAACATGCATCTTCACTACTGACTTGGACAGGTAAACTGCTAGGAATCAAACAGGCCACAAAGCAGTTCTGTACAAAACAGAAATACAATAAGTGGAACAGAAATCTGGAATCATGACGTATGTAGAAAGACTAAAACATAAAAACGACTTAATGGCTTAATAGAAATAAAAGAGCCACTTGCTGAGCTACTTCCTCTGAAGTAAGGACACTTTTCCCAACTTAATTAGAAGTTAATTAAACCATTAATTCAACCTGGAAGTCAACGACTTAATTTTCCAGCCTTCCCTTCCATCTTTATCATACTCTTAACAGAAACTACCGATTATTTCATAGCCCACTCCCTCTGCCCCCAATGTCCTTCTCCCCCATACAGACATGACTCACTCTCCTTTACTACACTCACGACTTTGCTTAAATGTCACCATACTGAGGTCCTGACTTCTCTATATAAAAACGCACCTGTACCAATCCCCTCTGCTTTTTCCTTCACTGTACTTAAAGATGACGCTAAACTGGGGTGCCTGGGTAGCTCAGTCGGTGAAGCCTCTTGATCTCAGGTTCGTGGGCTCTGGGGCTCTGTGCTGACAGCTCAGAGCCTGGAGCCTGCTTGGATTCTGTCTCCCTCTCGCTCTGCCCCTCCCCAACTCGCACTCTGTTTCTCTCAAAAATAAACATTTAAGAAATTAAAAAGATGACGCTAAACAGTATTTTTGTATTTGTCTACCCAAACTATCATAATGAAAGTTTCTGTAAAATCTTCGCCTGTTCCACCGCTGTATGCCCTAATAGTGCCTGACTCGAGGGCGCGGGGAGTCCGTCAACATTTACTTAAATAGATGAATCCCATATATTCTCAAGATTCTGTTTTCACTCAGCCTGTTCCCTAGCCCCACCAGGCCTTTCTATCAACAATTGTTTGCACCACTCCAAGGCTGGAGAGAAAGTAGACATTCTTCCAGGAACCCTTTAGGACTAATTTTAGTTTGAGGTCCAGTCTTGCTAATCCCTCCTTCCACGCACACACACACACACACACACACACACACACACAAAACCCTATCTTCCTCTCCAGCCAGGAATGCCTGACTAGGCCCAACCGGCCCCGCTCACCCACCTGCCTCACCACTGCGCCAGGCCCTCCGGGCTTGAGGCTCCCCAGAAGCTACTCCTGGTCACAAGAACAGAGACTGGGTTCACCCTTGCCTGGCCTTGGGCGCTACTAAGCGAATTGCAACATAGTGGCTAAGACACTCGCTCCGCGATCTACACCCAGGCCGGAAATATTTATGCCTTTGAATTTCGGCGCGAGCAAAGGACCCCACCTCCACTGCCGATTTCATTGCCAGGTGCCTACGAGATGCCTAACTTAGAGGTTCTAATTTTCCCTCCCATCGAACAATCAAAGTGACAGAGGGCTAGGAAAGAGCGTCACGACAATGGTAACTCCAGGGATGCAAGAGCTGGGACCTGAAGACTAAAGGAGAAAGCGGCATTTGCTGAGCTCGGCGTCTGGCACCCCACGGGCAGCCCCATACTGCAGCCAAGGGCCTCGCGTTTCGCCAACCCCACCCCACTTCAGGTCCCATCTGGCCTCGGGCTGTCCCGGTGGCCCCGCCCCGTCCAGAGTCTCGCGGGTATTGCGGGGGGGGAGGGGGGAGAAACTAGCTGGTGCGGACGGCAGCTTTCTCAGAGTCCTGAAGGCAGGGAGGCGGGAAGGCTTCTAAGTAGTGTTACCAGTGTATTTCAGAAGACTCAGAATTTATCCGATTTGGCTCAGATTTGTCAAAAATAGAAGCTGTGCTTTGTCGGTGCTGGAAGGCGCGGAACTTCGGGGCACTGTTGGGGGTGGGGGGGTGGCGTTCTGGCTCCGCCCCTCGCAGCTCAGGTCTCTGGCGGGCTTTTTCATCTCAAATTTCGCGTCGGGGCGGTTCGTTAGTACTCGCTGTCGAGAGCTGTGCTGATCCCATAGGAAATTGTGTGGGGCTGGCAGGTGGTGGGCAAATAGGTGTTTTCTTCCCTGCGCTTCCGTTAAAGCAGTGGCAGAACTAACATTTCACAGAATTTCTTTGGGAGCCGGATTGTTAATATTTATGCCAGGCTGGGTTCCAAGGGCTTTCAAATCCTGTCGCAACTCTGAAACCCGTGACATTGTTTTCATTTCACAGGTGAGCGAACACAGGTCAAGCAACTTACTCCAAGTAATAAGTGGAGAAGCTGGGATTTGCTCCCAAGCAGTGTAGCTTCATATCGCGTATTGTTAAATGGTTATATACTATTCCTCTTCGTGTTCAGAATCCAGTACCATTAATAGGATTCTGTGTTTATCAGTGTATGCTGTTATCAACAAACAAAACTGACCAGTTTACTCACAGTTGAGCATTCTGATACTACTAAGGAGGGACAGCGGCAGATTGCACTGTCGTGCTGTCCCTATGTGAGGTATAAAAAGATGGTGTAGCTGGTATGCTATTTTAAGCCATACGTTTAAAATTTCTTCACCCAGGAATGGCTTTGCAGCATTGGACACCAGTAGAACTATCAAGAACCGCCAATAATGGGCCTATGTTTTGAAATTCATTCTCTTCCTAAGAGGATAAAATAAGTGTTTTTTTTTGGGGGGGGGGGTTAGTTTTGTTTACTTAAGAACTATGTATTGTCATATCCCACCCCCTTCTGTAATGTCAGTGGTTACTGGCCTAACATCTTTTTAGTTGAGCATTTATCTCTCTGCCTTGGTTTCTGCATTCCCTACATTCTACAGCTCACATATGTTGGTTCTATTCAATTTTTTTAAAGTTTTTAATTCCAGTATAGTTAACATATAGAGTGTTATATTAGTTTCAGGTATTCAATATAGTGATTCATCACATCTATACATCATTCGGTGCTCATTACAAGTGCACTCCTTAATCCCGATCAGCTATCTCACCCATTCCCCCCACCCACTTCCCTTCTGGTAACCATCAGTTTGTTCTCTAGTTGAGAGTCTGTTTCTTGGTTTGTCTCTTTCTCTCTCTTTGCTCGTTTGTTTCTTAAATTCCACATGAGTGTAATCATACGGTATGTCTCTCTCTGACTTACTTCGCTTAGCATTCTACTGTCTGGCTCCATCCTGGTTACAAATGGTGTATTCAATTTTAATATACATTTATTTTCAACTATGTCTCCATCACTTTGTGAGTGAAGAATTTTAATTTGCCAACAAACCCTAAAATGGGTTTTACCAAGTTGTGAAATAAACATTTGTTTGGGGTGAAAATGGACACAATTAGCCTTTGCACTTATTTAATAGATTAATAATTCACATATATTTAAGTCAAATGGATGAAAACATATGCAAATGCACTTCTGGATGAGCACTTATGAGTAGTTATAAGACTATACGTACCTACTCCCACTGAAAGTATTTACTTAAATGAAAATTGCTTGTAAAGGGAGAGATATGTATCTGTTTTAGTTTTCCAGCAGGCCAGGAACAGTAAGGAATTTCTGTTCGTATGGAATGATGACGAAATAACTAATGGCTTACTTACAACTGCCTCCTAAGATCACAGGGAAGTGAAGAAGACCAAGGCACAAAGCCACTAACACTCCCCTAATTTGGAAAGGGAAAGTCTGAAAGTAAAGCTAGGCTGTAGAGTAAATGTAGTAAAAATAGAGCACTGTTGTTGTTTCATTATCATGGATCAAAATCTTTTGAAAGCTTCAAGATGGGCAGGCTGGTAGAGTTTTAGTCCTTATGTACAAGGCAGCAGTACCAACAGGGGCACTGATCAAGCCATAAGAGGGACCTAGGAAAAAGATTCGGTCTTTTCTTCCAGAGCACTGGGAAGGACCCTCTTTCCCTGGATGCACATTTCTAATTTTAGAGTCCTAAAGTAGCTCTTCTTGGGACGTTGATGAATCCTCTCTCCCTGCAATTTAGGACAGAAGAAAAAAATAAAAGGACTTTACCTTGACTGCAGATGTAAGGAAAGGTTGATTCATTTTGTTGAGAGATAAACTGGGGTTCAAGGGCATGAACTGATAATGATGGAAAGTTCATATTGTAAAATTGTACTGCATAGCAGCACATTTTGAATACACCACATATAGCCTATGTGACAAGAAATATAGCTGAGCATAATTTATTTATTTATTTATTTATTTATTTTTTAAATTTTTTTTTTCCAACGTTTATTTATTTTTGGGACAGAGAGAGACAGAGCATGAATGGGGGAGGGGCAGAGAGAGAGGGAGACACAGAATCGGAAACAGGCTCCAGGCTCTGAGCCATCAGCCCAGAGCCTGACGCGGGGCTCGAACTCACGGACCGCGAGATTGTGACCTGGCTGAAGTCGGACGCTTAACCGACTGCGCCACCCAGGCGCCCCTAGCTGAGCATAATTTAAAATAAGGAACAGAAAAAGAGGTGACTATATTGATTCACCTATGGGATCTGGTTAGACCCATTCATTTTCATTTCAGTGACAATATTGTTTTTAGTACTACATGTTCTGTTTGCTTCTTTGTGAAATCTGCCTATATTCTTTCATCATGATTTCCATTAGTTGGCCTCTTTAATCAAGTGTCTTTATCTTCTCTTTCAGGTACTTCTATTATTTCCAGCTTTTGAGTTCCTAACTCTACTGTTTACAACATTTGCTGAGTTTTACTCATAGTGATTTATATCCTCCCGTGGTGCTGTTCTGGGATGGGGTTGTTTTGTTTTATGGAAGTCTCTTATGCCCTGAGTTGTGAAAGAGTCCCTTCAGAACAGTTATGTATTTGTTTCTGCCAGGGTTCTTTGGCTCTTAAATATCCTGGGGCATTTGTAAATGATTATTTCTCAGTTTGTAGTTCCTGAATTATGCAGATACTGTAAATTTATATCTTGCAGGCTGAGGTGTTTTATTTCTCACAGGTACCTTTTGTTTTTAACCCCTATTCAAAGCCCCAAGCAAAGAACAAACTTCTTTGCTTCTTCCAGACTAGGAGGTGGAATTTTTCCAGTCCCAGTGACTGACAG